TTCTGTATGTATGTTAATACTCCTTCATTTTCTCTTTCCTTTGTGCATTTAACAACGCTACGTGCCATCGTGCACCCGCTTTAATCAGGTTTCGCAAGATTTACGTATTACGAAAGCTGTATGTATGTAAATCTTCGTGCTTGCAGAATAAATAATTCTGTGTCATATTTCAGAATACTTTATATGCAGAAGTGCCTCGCAAATGTTGAAGATAGTATCTTCGACAGTATCTTCGACATTTATATCGATATCTCTCGCTCTCGCCACACAACTCTTACGGTATACATGGTGACGTGACGTGCACGCAGGTGCAGCTTATATGGTCTAGTGCGGTTTTCGCGGAACGGAGCGAGCCTTCGAGACTAGGCGATGCAATTGCGCTCGCGGATTATCATTTTGCGCCGGGAGAGAATCGGCCTTCGAGTGGCACACGCACTTAGTGCCAAGGTCGAGACTTGCTATATTTCTTTCTAGGAACTGCTTTTTTCATTCTCGATCATTTCTGAGTTCGTAGGCTCCTTTTTAGTGGCACTTACTTTTCATTTTCGAAAATTGCCTTTCCATTATTTTAGTTTTTGCAAAACTTTTGAGAGGTCATGCGTTTTACGTTTAAGATTCTTTTACTGTAACCATATTTAATGGATTTGGCGCGGATCCACTCTTAAAAAAGGCATAAAAAGACGATACTCGAATGTATCGAAAGTGTATCTCGAAATGTATTGTTGACGCTTTTCCGCGACGCTGATTGGTTATCTCGATTATTCTGACAGTTTGATAGTTTGACAGCGAAGATTATTTTGATGGTTATTTATTTCCACTCTTAAAAAAAGAATGAGAAGTCGATACTCGAATATATCGAAAGTCTTGAAGTGTGTTGTTGACGCTTTTCCGCGACGCTGATTGGTTATCTCGATTATTCTGATAGTTTGACAGCGAAGGTTATTTAGACGGTTGTTTCCACTCTTAAAAAAGGCATGAGAAGTCGATACTCGAATGTATCGAAAGTCTCGAAGTGTGTTGTTGACGCTTTTCCGCGACGCTGATTGGTTATCTCGATTATTCTGACAGTTTGATAGTTTAACAGCGGAGGTTATTTTGACGGTTATTTAAAATTAAAAAAAATTTTATTAAAATATTAAAATTTTATAATTACTAAATTTTTATGATAAATGTGCGCGCCTGTATTGTTCTAGTAATATAAAAACAATAGTAAAATATACCCCCCTTATGCCAAAACTATGAATGCGCAAATTTTCTTTATCCTTGTTTTTTTTTTGTGCAATTTATTTTGCGCTACTTGATTGTGTATTTACAGAGCTTCAAAGCCTAGGATACTTTAGATCCTAGGCTGATCTTATAAAGGCTTTATAATTTAAAACTATAGTTTATTTAGGTTAATCGGCTTTAAGTGAAGCACATAAATATGCGGGATGTATCTGCGAAAGCTATGAATGTCAATGAGCGCGACGCGGCACGGCGAGAACTTATCGAAGGAACTGCAGCGGGCAAGTGGGTGTCCGCACGAATGGTTAGATAGTTTAGCATCGGAAGAGGAGCGGATAAAGTATGTGCACGCTTTTCCGTTTGATGTCCTCTTCGCGTCAGCCGCCTCCGCGGGGCTTTCCGCCCACGTGGCGCGCAGCGCGCGAGAGATCTTCGTGTCTCTCGAACACTTAGAACGCCGAGATAAATCTAAAGTGGACAGTGTACGCTTTGGACCCACGCGTTTGCCGGTCGTGCGAGAGCGAGAGATAGCGAAACCTGTCGCTCTCCCCTGCTCTCTCGCGCTCTATTGAAATGTTAGTCGTAAAAGGCGAAGCGCGCCGATAAGGCCCGTAATGGCTTCCGTAATTTCAGAAGGCGCGGGCCGGCTTATGCCCGAAGTGGTGGCCAGATTTTTAAGCTGTAAATATTAAGCCTCAGCGACACATCGCGCTCGAGATAATCTCCTGCCGAAGAAAAGAAATGATAGCGTTTAATGCGCCACTTGAAGCGTATCCAAATATTAACAATTGAGATTGTTATTTCTCATTTATAATCGTAAAAGCTTTAGTAATCCTTTCTCTAAAAATTAAAAACTTTGCTTTACTCAAACCAAAGTTACCCATCAAATTTCGATCAAAAACTTGATCTCAAAATTTTCGAAATTCCTAGCAACAAGAGTCGTCAGTCGTGTAATTTTTTAATATATTCGTGAGACGAAAAAAAAAACGAGAAAGCAGACACGGTATGAAATTAACGGTTGGTCTTTCGACAGTCCGGACTTTATCTTAAAACCTCAAGCGGTTAAGAGAGCAGAGTCGAGAGGATTGAAGGCGTTGCGCGATAGGCTGGAAGAAAGGGCGGAGAAGGTCGAGGCGGAGGACGAACAAGGTTCGTTTGCCCGCCTGCACACGTGCACCTATATGGTAATTCCTTTCGGTCGTGCGGCGGAGTGTCGAGAATTTGACGACAGGGTACGCCATAAAAGTACGCCGGTCAGAAAAATATCGAGAAAAATATGCGCGACCAAACGAGTGAGCGAGACGGTTGTATTTTTTTAGGTCTCACTGATCGACTTCAACGTGCACAGTATTTCACGCATAACGCATTCTTGGTATATTTCTGGTTTTTGTAATTATTGCATCGAGAAGTAATAGCACTTGCAGCGAATGATAGAAATCGAATGTTGGACTCTCCGTTTAATTCCTTTTTAATCTAGCAAAAAATTAAGGAAGAGAAATACATTTTTTTTTAAATTTTCTAGTGGCAACTCTTATTTTTCAAACTTATGACCACTGCAATGTACACATATTCGTCCGAGAGAAGGAAAGCAACACGTTTGTTGATCATTGTCAAACGGAAATATCGGGTGGCGCGTTTGACCGAGCCGAGCCGAGCATATTGCTCGCTTGGCGTGGGTTTCGGCGGGCATATTCGACCGGTCATTGTCCACTCAACGATAACGTGCTCTCCGGCTTCGTAGCTACATGCGCCTGTATGTTCGACTCGCGATCTGTATCGGTTATTACATTTCACCTACGTTGCACCGATAAAATTCAATGTTATCTTTTTTCTCATCGTAATTGAAAGAAAGAAAAAAAATATTGCTCTTTCAAAATGAGCTGTCTGTGTGATTCTCAATACATTGCCAACTATTCGAGTTGCTCATAAATTTTCCTCTTACTATCGTAACACCATGAATATGTGCATAATTAATGCAGTTCAGATACGGGATATTGAAGTGGCGTATCGAGAGACAGTGAGTCGAACTCTTATTCCTCGCAATCTATTGTGCGGGATAACTCGACGTTAATTCTTTCATACCCGCCATTCGCTACAATAGACATACTTTTCCTCGATTTGTAACATGCGAAATTGCATTTTCTCAAGATCGCTCGATACTATTGTACACGCGCATGTTTTCTACACTGCGTTCCTTCTTCCTTTTTTTCCCTCGCAAAGAGAATACAGATTTGTTATATTTTAATCTACTCTCAACGGATACCGAGTCCGTTAGGACTCCTTTTGCAGATTGTTTATGTCACAATCGCGATTGTTTTGTCGCTCGAGATATAATATTATCTTATTTCTTGCCTACACCCATTTCCTGTTTTTAGATACAGCGTAAAATGAAATTCCGCTATGAAACCGAACGATCCTGGCATATTTGCCGTTCAGGTGATCCATTATGCGAGAATTAAATGAAACATACTTATATCGAAATATAGAAACGTATAGAAAAACGCAAGAAAACGCGACTGAAACAATGATAATCGGCGCGATAAATGAGTGTTGATGAAACAGTTCGACTGTGTGTCCTCGAAAGACCGCGAAGATCTCTTCCAATCACGAACAGTGATATACGATAATAAATCCTGAACGTACGTTCGGATGCCCACTTTGCGCTCTCGCAGCCGCAGGTGTGTCGCGGTAGCAGCATGGGACGTGCCCGGGCTTTTTCGCTTGTGTATACCGTTATACAGTGTGTCCTGAGATTCAATAAACCCGTGATCCAAATAGCGTGCGTTGAGAAGCTCACATCCGGCGCGATATCGAATGGCAAATTAACGACGGAGAAAAAAACTCTCGCGAAAAATGCGTTTTTCCTCTCGAGCGAAAAAAATAGCTTGTATCCAGAAATCAATCTCGACGTAAGTACAAGGTCACGGTTTATCTCGCTCCTAAATATTTCATTACTGCATCGTTACGAAACAATTGAGATTGGAATGCGATTGAAACAAATTTCAGACGACCGCCGTAGTTGCACGACTTTTTTTCTCGATATTCGTGAACACCCAGTGGATCTGTCCACATGATCAGCCTATGTCAGCCTACGTCGGCCTACGTGTATGCGGGTATCTGCCTGCCTGCCTGCCTACTCGGTTCACCGATTCTCGCCGGTATTCACGACGAAAATGCGTACCCACGTCGGACTTGGCTGCGAGGCAGGCTCGGCTCGGCGGTACGCTCAGATACTCGACTTCCGGCCGTGGTAAAGGTGCGCCCAGGCGGAGTTATACCCACGCGATCAGACTTCGACGACCGATGGCAAAAAAGAAAAAAAGGAGGCACGCAGAAAGTCGCACTATTATACCGAAGATTTCGCTCGCGGGAAGATCTGTTTCGGTAGATCGCACCGTTAAATCACTCGTTCGAGCATTCGGCACGACGCTAAGTCAAACGAGCTCGCACCGTGAATGAAATAGTATCGTGTTGCTATGCAGACGGAAATCACAGCAGTACCTTCGATCTTTCCAATTTTAATCATTTCGTCAAGATTGTAAATCTCAAAATAAATATTTTTGCATCGAAAAGTTTTGATGTTGTAAAGTAGAAGGATTTTTTACATTCTAAAAATCTATCAATCGAGTCAAGTTGCGTTAAATATAATACAATCCATAATTGTTGTCCTTGTTTTTCATCATTACAAATGTCAGCTGTATTTGTTGCAGACTATACTCTGTATTATGATGCTTGAATTTGTGTATTAATGTGTTATTACGGATTTGTTGTTTCAGTTCGTCGATTTGGGCATGGTGACTAGTATAGAGTACAATCATAAGTCCGTGGAATCAGCCAGAAAAGGTCAAGAGGTCTGTATTAAAATCGAGCCCATACCGGGCGAAGCACCTAAAATGTTCGGTCGTCACTTCGAAGCGAAAGACTTCCTTGTCAGCAAGGTAAGCATTAATCATCAATTCATCAAGTCACTCTAAATAATTTTAAAAATTTTTACATAACTATTTATTATGCAATTATAGATCAAGCATCTATTTTTTTTTAGTAGCAATTATTTATGATTACACATTAAACTTCTCAAAAGTCAGGTATTTCGACGAATAAAATGAAACTCGACAGTTTTAATTTATTTATATACGTTCAATTGTACACGTAGTTATTTTACTCGCGTTAGATCATGCAAAACTGAGAAACGCGTTTTCGCCTTGACGCAAATTCGACTTAGTATGCGAGACCTAGATCGAAAAAGGAAGATGAACATCCGGCGGCGATCGCCCGTCCGCCGCCGGCTTCCGGCCTTCGTAGAAGCTCGCTACCTTTTCCCCTCCGTTCCCTTCCCTCACCGCCTTCTACTCTTTTTCCTTTTTTGTCTTCCTTCTTTAGGCCAGGATATCGACTATAAATCGACAAAGAGAGAAGAGTCGGGCCCTTGCGTTCGCTCAGAAACTTCATCCGAACGCACGTGCAAGCAGCGGTTCTCTTTACTCGGACGATTATTATTCAGCGGTGATTTATTCTTGCGTAGACTGCAGTTCTCATTCAGTTCGGATCTCGTCATTACGATGCGCCATTATCAGAATGATCAGAGTAAATGAATGGAAATAAAACCAAATCGAATGAATAATCGCGCTCAAGTATTTATCAATTTTATCTTATCTGTCCTAATATCTCGGTAAAGTTTAAACATTCAAGAGATAAGTGCCTTATAAATTTTACTCAAGTTTTAACATTTCGATGCGGTCTATATTTAAAAAGTCATTAAATTAAAATAATTCCAATGTAAGACTTTGTTTATATTTTATAATTAATTGCAGTGTGATTTGTAGGTCTAAAAAACATCTTGAATGTTTACATAAATTGAATGTGGATTATCAATTAGATGTTAGATAACGATAAAGCGGAGATAGAGATAAAAGTTTGACTTTTACATTTCATAAAAATCTAAATCAAACATAAGATACGAACTCGAAAGAAGAAGGAAAAGAGTTTCTATGACGCGCGTGTCGCGTGTGGTGGAAAAAATGAATGAAGGATTAATACGGGACTGAATGGATCAAGTTTCAATTACTCCAGCGCCGGTAGATTCTCGAGGATTCTCGAGGAAATGTGTGTAAAGACTGTTGCGATCGTTAATTAAGACGGATGTTTCGTAGGTTTCTTCCCCTGTGAGAAACGGTACCGGCGTCTTTTCTTCGCCGTACACAACCGACGTCTCATCTTCATTCTTTCCCCCTCTTCTCTTTCCCGCGTCCTTCCTTACGCCCTCCCCGCCACGCTCCCTTTCCACGGATCTGTTCTATCATCGTGCTTCAAGCACCTTCCTGTGCTTTGGTAGGCAAGCGGAAGTCGTCGTTACCGTTTGGTTCGTGGAATCAGTTCCGGAAGTATCTTGTTCCCATGATGATTCTCCTGAAGCCACTGTTCCGTCGACACATCGGCTCGTACGGACAGAAAGAAGCAAGCGCTTTTTCTCTTGTGTTCTTTTTGCTTTTGTCTTTGCCCATGGAAAATGTCTCGGCAAAAGATGTAAGGAAAGAATAAGGAATTGGTCACGCGTGAAATGGAGCGAACGCATTTGTTTCCTATTTGAGGTACACGCGAGCGATGATCACATATTAGAGCGTTTTCTGCTTGCGGATAAAATTTTTGCTTCGAGAGGTTATCGAAGAAATGCCGTGAAAAGATATAGTAAACAGTGAAAAATACAAATTGCACATTATCAGTGTACACATAATTGCATATAGCTCTGTAGTAGTTTAATTCTGTCATCCTGACAGCGCAGTGACATTTATAGGAAAATATTACAAAATATAAAGAAGAGAATACTTGTGAAAATGTCAATGAATGTTTTTCGTGAAAACTGCAAAAGTACGAAATGTAGGATACGTGTCTATTGTTGCTTCGTGTGTCTTCGCTCCTACTTTCAGCCGAGTGTATTTGCGTTGCTTATTTCATACGGAACAATACTTCTCGCCGTGTTTTCTCCGCCGCACTTTCCGAGTGGCGCGTTTATTTATCTAAGCGCAGGTACATTTGATTCGCAATCTTGGGCGCGGCAAAACGAGGAAACGATGAAAAGTGAATCATGGAAAATCAGGCGAAAGGTTTTAGCGGCGTCGAGAGTGTGTCGCGAGTGAATCGCCAAGTACCTACGATCGGGACTACCGACAGTGCGGAAAACTTGCAAAATCGCAAATAAAGAGACGGAACTCGTCAATCGATTCGGTACGATCTCGATTGTACGATTTTATCAAGCAGTCCAAATTGCGCAACAACATCTGAGACGCGCAAGATTCGCGAGATTCGCGCGATAAGCTTAAACTTTCAAATTACTTTTGCGCTTTGTGCCGCCGGTGAAATTTTTTTATGATTACTGTGAACTGTTGTATATTCAACGTTCCGCGTACTTTGCGAGCGATAATACAGACGTAGGAAGAGAAAAGAGGGGAATACATAGAGGGCGAGGGCGAACAAGGAAGGCAGAGAGAGATAGAGATAGAGAGAGATAGAGAGAGAGCGAGAGAGAGAGAGAGAGAGGGAGGGGGAGGGGAGGGAGGGTAG